AGAGTGTAGTTTTCAAAGATCGGTATAACGTATCTTGATGAATTAAGACAAGTTCCCAAGGGTTTAATATTTTGATACAACAATGGAATTCAATCTTTTCAAGATTGATCAAGCGAGATGTTTCAAGAGTGTAGTTAACACATCAAGTTTGAGTAATTCAAGGATATGAGTCACGAGATATAAAGATAGCGTTTGCGAATTGCCGTTACTAATCGTAGATTTTCTTCTTTCAATGTTTCACTCTTTAGAAATTACTCAAGGGGTCGTTGTCTTAGAAATAGTCATTTTGACTTTTCGTCTCGGATTTGATCGTATTTCAGGACAGCTAATCTAACTATTCATTATTCTCAATATATCACATCGTCAGCAGACTACAGTATTGATGAGTACACTTTCGTCTGTAGATAGTTGAAGCGAATTCACTTTTCTGTACGTATTTTGGCAGGTGATAATTACTTTTCCATCAATGGTCAGGTTTCAGAGACTATATATATCACGATTATGGAAAGAGTATCTCACATTCTCACATTATGGAAGGAACTTCTTGAACACTTCCTTACACCATAAGATTCGTTGGTCTACTTGGTAGTCATTCTCTTGGTAGAAATCCAAAGTTTGTGGCTACTGCGGTAGATTTAGGAAGGGAATTGTTAAGACAAAAAATTAAACTTGCCAATGGAGGAGGTAGTGTTGGCCTTCAAGGAGCTGTTGCTTCAACAGTCTTTACCAATGGTGGTCTCGTTAGAGGTTTCATTCCTGGGTACATAGCAACACGACGGGTCTATGGACCTACGTACGGTGTAGAGCACACAGTTTCCAGCAATTACTACAAATATTTTGAGATGAATCATGTCGTGGAAGCTTTCATTGTTCTTCCCGGAGCAGTTGACACTATGGAAGGTTTGTTTACCTTGATCTCGTGGGCTTCTGAAGGGTTACACAATAGACCCATTGGTCTTTTAAACATTGACGGTTATTTCAATAACCTTCTCAAATTCTTAGACGATGCGGTGAGGCAGAACTTCATGGCTTCCAGTCAGAGGAAACTTTTTATTTCTTCTTTCTTTGTTGACGAGCTTTTAGACAAACTAGAGTTTGCTAAGGCTTTCCCGGGTCCTGGAGCCGGTTACGACGAGTTTGCAAATCCTGAGAGATTAGACTTAGAATTGCATCTGTAACTTTCCTCATGTAATCTAAGTTGCATTCATGTTGAAATAATATCGTCCTTGAACATTACGAGTTAGTCATAAATATTATTCTAAGCTGTATGGTCAGTGCAGCTACATTTTCTTCATTCTTTAGTCTTTCACTGTTGGTGTTACTGTTTTACGTCTCGTTCTGTATTGTCACCATGTCGCGATCTTTTACGTCAAACGAATCAATCGATTTGTCTTGTTAGCATCACTTTACTTCACTTATTCAATCAGGTTACATCGACGTTTTTGACGATAGCAATTAAGTCATTAATCGCTTCTTGAAAGGCATCAGTTTATTCAACAAGGTCGAGCTGTCTATAGCTTCTAACAAAGAGGTTCTTCAAACAAATCATTTATACGTAGTGAAGGGTAGCGATTCTTGATTGTCAGTTTGTCCATCTTTCATAACAGGGATTTGACAGTATCCTGATCGTAAGTCAATCTTAGAGAACACAATGGATCCTCTAAGCTGATCAAATAAGTCATCGATACGAGGTAAAGGATAATGTATTGTTCAATTGACAGTAGTTGTTACAGAATCTCATTGATTCACGTATAAATAGAATGGGTATTCTCCTAAGGAGGAAATACTTGGTGAAATGTTTCTTTGTCAGTCAATCTTTATAGTCGAGTATTCAGTTTGACATAAACATATTTAATTACGAATATTGGTCCTCTTTGGGATCAAGATTGGTAGAGAAATTCCATTTCTCGGAACGGTGAAATATTAGGAAGTTCATATCAGAGAGGTGACATACTTTCGGTACGTTCCTTTAGTTCAGATCTTTCTTTCTCGTATCACACGAATAGACTTCACGCTTCTTATGGTTGAAACATTTTTGCATATATATTCGAGATGAACTCGGTTGGTTTAAAAATCAGCTTTGCTTTCACCTCCTATGATGTTACCATCATTGGCCTTCAGTTGAGGAATTCTTCATCACAAGTTGTCAACAACGACGACGTTCAGTCAGTCAGTGCATACTAAGGATAATGTCGATTTCCTTGTATGGTACTTCAACGAGATTTTGTAAGGAATTGTCGTTTAACGAACGATTTCGATTCATAAGATGTAATCACATCTTTGCGTCGTAAAGAGTTAGACATCAAAACAGGATACTTTAGATAACAGAGTTTATTGATTCTAAACGTTCGTGTTTAAATCAACGAACAGATCATATTGAGTCCACATGAGGATCTTTGACATCGGCTTCACAGATGTTGTTCAACATCATTTGTTTCTTCAGAGTCATCTCACTTCCATATAATTTTGCGATGCAGATCAGTTTCGTCATTCGCGATGCGATAAGTATGTTGATAACGTATCAGGGAGTCAATTATTATTATTATTATTATTATTATTATTCATTCTTTCGTCTCTTCACCGAGTACGAAAAATCTATTTGAGTTTATGCTCGATATAGTTTCAGTACTAACAATTATTCTCTAATGAGAATTCTAACAGACTCAATATTTACCAAGTAAATTCTCATACCTTTCCTGGAGTAGAGGGATGCGAGAGTCGTGGATGTGATTGACATTTTATTATTATTTTTTTTTAAAATCCAATTTCGATCCGAAGATCGGTTTTAAAACCATATGCTCCGATACCAAAATGTAACACCCTAATCCGTCCAGGTCTGCAGCCCCTTTCGGACTAAAGTATTAACTTGGTAATCGTAAAATTAAAACTTTTCAAACACTTTTATTTATCACGATAATATTTTTCATAACATATACAGTGCGGAGTTTTCAATATTGCGGAAGCTTAACAAATCATAATTACAAACATAATTTATTTATGTTCTTTAATTCAAAACCGCCACATCCATTCCGACAATCTCGCCTCCGTCTGCCTCCAGAATCATGTCACATCATTCTTTCTATTAACCTGCGTGTAGCAAATAAAACATACTACACGCTCAGCGGTGAAGCTGAGTAAGCATATCTAATGCGTCGAACATCCATATAAATTGAATCCAAATTCATAATCAAATCATTTGATATCATGCACAAAGTATTCAGTTCAAATATACAATAATCAATTTTCAACATTCGTCATTCAATATTCATATTCAGCATTCAACATCCTCATTCAATAATATCCGACTACATCTTATCACGTTTGCGGAGTTTTTTTTGTCATTGTGCTCTTTTTATTTTGTAATTTATCACCTTAAAACCTTAGCAGTTCAGCTTCAAAAGTAACTTCTTAAAACTACTTTTCCAATTTTTTTCTTCTTGAAGTCGCCTACGCGCTGAGTTAGCACGTGGCGCATGATTTTCCTTTAGTAACATGATCGCACTAGTCTTCATGAATAATTATGAATTCTTTTTCTATAATTTACTTCTTCGGTTTTTTTTCAATCTTCTTTTGTTTATGTTCCCTTTTTTGGAAACTTTTTTTGATAACCCACATGTTAGTTCACAAACAATCAAGACAACAATTTCACATAAGCACATAATAAGGATTCAAAGTTACCTCCTGAAGTAGTGACGTCGCGAAACTGTGGATGCCCATTTTTAGAACTATTTGTTTTTTGAGATTTTCATTTTCATTTATTCATATTTTTTAAATATGCATTTAACTATACCCTTTTTTAAACATACATTTAATTATTTTGGCAAAGGATCGTTTTTAAAACTACATTCTCTGATACCAAAATGTAACACCCCAACTCGTGTAACCCGAACCAAGGACTTAACGAATCGGGTTGCTACTAAATTGATATCAACACAACAATTTAGACAAATTATTCAAAAACATCCAAACACCCAGTTAATTACGAAAAAATTAGACTAAAGTCCATCAAGTGCGGAAGTCTCAAAATAATGTTATACAATAAATGTTTAACCCAAATAATTAATTAATGCAATAGTTAAATGTCCATAAGAAAAATGGTGCCAACATCCACGGTGTCACGCGTCTACGTCCTCTAGGCTAGCCCTCGTGACTCAAATCCCTACCTGCGTGCAGTCAAAGACAACAAGACTACACGCTCAGCTAAAAGCTGAGTGAGAGTACCGAAATATCTAACGCTAGAATTAATTTTACAGATTCTATTGCATTTATATAATATGCAATATGAGTGAACAATCAGCATTTATTTTCAGATACAAGAATCCAAGAGTTCTAGTTCATTTATTCTCAATGGGCTAATTTTGTCCCTACATCACTAAGGCTTAATTCAAAAGACTAGAGTTACAGACGCTCGAGAGGATCCCTTGAGGCCGATGCTCGGACAAACCCAAAGAGAATCCTCAATGGGTGGGTTGGAGTCTTTACCAAGGAATCACTTAAGTAGAACAGTGACTCCCGTACGTACGTTTTGAACCCTGGACCACTTGATATGCAAACATGCTCCACAAGGCCTGAACCCAACAACAGTCCTATGGGTGGTTATATTATCCAATTCAGTTCAGATCAGCCTAGGTATCCTAGGTGGCCAATTTTCAACATAGTTCTCAAGTGATAACAATCACTTAAACACTTCCATAAACAGAACAACACACTCAGCGGCCTATCAGAAGAATCACTTCTCATCGATTACCATCATGCTCAAACAACAAGATTAAACCTAACAATATTAAAATAACTTACTTGGGTCCAAACAGTAGCCGCTAGTGGAAAACAGCCCCCAACACACCCCCAACTCAACTCAATGCACAATCAACCATAAATTCCACAATCAAACCCAAGATTAATACAAACAAGATCCTAATCTCTGAATTAACGCTAACGATAGATAATTGGACAACAAATCACCTAGAAATCAAAGGAATTGAAGCCGAATTGGACGAGAAAGAGTTTGCCGCTGCAACTCCCTGGCGCGGCCGGAACTACTGCATCACGGGGAAGGAGGACGGAGGACGTAGGCGACGGCGGCGTCCTGGCGGGGCTCGGAAGCGCCACTGCTACTGGCTGACGAATGGCGTCCGCGAACTAGGAAGAAGAGCCGACAGAAAATGAACGGGAATTGTATCTTGGGCCCACCAAGTCCTATTGTCAATCTGTTTGAGCGGTCGGGTTCAGAATAGCGAGCCCTACAATGTAGGTCAACTCTCATATTAAATACGCAGATTAGAAAATAATCTTCGCATTGACCGATCAACTCAGTAATTAATTAATTATATAAATTAATTAAAAATACTACGTCGGGTTTCGAGGCGTCACACCTTATCTTTTTACGAGACCGAATCGAACACGCATGGACACTTCGTTAATAACAAAGTGACGAAAGTAATAGGCATGCATGCATAAAGGGTCTTTGGTGACTCTTTGGTTGTTCCGCCCAAGCTGTCCAAGTTTGTACCATCCGACCAAGACCATCTCTTATTTAAGGAGGTCTTGTTCTAGTGAAGAGAACACACACTCGAAAAGTTCTATGCATTCCAACTCTCTCTCAGTGTTTTGATCTTTTCTTCTGGTGAATAACTCTACTTTGTTCCAGTTCGTCGGTGCATTGTTCTACCAGTCTAGACTTTGCACGTTAGCAGTTTTATCTTGGGAGGAGATTTTTACGTTGTTGTCAGTGCGAGAGGCGGGCGATACTACCTTAAGGAAAGCTCTGGCGACTCCGCTTTCCTTCCATCTCTGTTCGTTTTCCAACCACCAGTGACGTCTTGAATTTATTTTTTATTTTATTTTCGTTGTAAAATCCGAATGTGTTATAAGTTCGTATTATTTTTTTTATTATTTATTTTCCCGATGTATTATTTCTACAGCAGTCATAAACAAAAAATCGGAGGTACCCTAAACATATTTTTGTATAACACCGAGCCCTATAGTGCCCAAACCATACTATTTTACACAACACCCATACACATCCCTTCTGTATTTATATGAAAACAATATTTCTTTATGGATGTTTTTTTAGAGAAAAGTTATGATAATGGTTACATAAAATATAAATCAAGAATTAAATCATGTGTATCTGATAATCTTAAACACATAGTGAGAGATGGGATCAAAATTCTAATGTCGATCGAGTTCTCATTTAGGGTGTATTGTTATGATACTATAGTGAGGATGAGACTCAACAAAATAGAGAGGAATACGTGAGGCATATGATGGTGTGTGAATCTCTTCCTAATGATCTCTAAATATAAACCCAAGGAGAAAACCTAATTAAGTCGTAGTGATAATTACGTCCATCAAAAAATTATCGATTAAACATGTATGTATTTGTGTGGTCAATGATAAATTCATTAGATAAATGATAAGTCAAGCCACATAATAAAAATATGTGTTACATGGGCATAAATCTCATTCCCGTTGGCCCACTCCAAATCATTTTGGTACTCTTGTTTCATTTGGTTTAAAACTGAACACGATTGGGACATGGAAAATATAGCTTGTTCCGTCCCGTTTATCACAAAGCGTTATATACATACATACATACATACATACATACATACATACATACATACATACATACATACATACATACATACATACATACATACATACATACATACATATATATATATATATATATATATATATATATATATATATATATATATATGGGATTGACTCCAGTGAGATGACACCTTACAGTGCGATGACATGTTTCGGTCATATGACGCAAAGCTCACCACACTACACTACAAAGCTCACCAATGGACAATGCAAAGCTCACCTGGAAATAAAGCAAAACTCACCATTTTGAACCCCAAAACTCACCTTTTTTTAATTTTGATAGTTAAAAAATTAATTAAAAATAAAATAGCAACACCAGTCAACCACCGGTCAACGGCGGCCGAGGCGGCAAAGCAGCGGCCCGCGACCGGAGTATGGCGGCGGCGGTGACCGGCGGCAGCGACCGGAGACCAGCGGCGGCAGCGGCGACCAGTGACCGGAGACCGGCGGCGGCCGGCGACTAGCGGCGGTCAATGCTGGAGTCAACGGTCAAAGTCTAGTCAGCACCCCTTCCTTTGATTTTATTTTTTCAAAAAAAATTCAAAGTGTTGAAAAAGATATGGTGAGCTTTGCCTTACAGTTTGGTGAGCTTTGCAATTGTGTTTGGTGAGCTTTGCAGTGGGCAGTGGTGAGCTTTGTGTCATGTGACTGAAGCATGTCATCGCACCATAAGATGTCATCTAAGTGGAGTCAATCCTATATATATACACACACACACACACACACATACATATATACATACATACATACATACATATATATATATATATATATATATCTGTGTGTGTCTATATATATATATGTATGTATGTATGTATGTATGTATACAAATATATATATATATATATATACACACACACAAATATATATATACAAATATATATATATATATACATACATACATACATACATACATACATACATATATATATATATATATAAATATAGTGTTTAGGGTTTTCTCCATCGGCCGCCGCTCTGTTTCGTCTCTGCGACCGAAAGCCTCCAAGAGAGTCAGGCGGAGAAGAGAATGGGTCACTCTAATATCTGGAACGCTCACCCAAAGAACTACGGCCCCGGTTCCCGCGCCTGCCGGGTTTGCGGGAATCCTCATGCAATCATCAGAAAGTATGGAATCATGTGCTGCAGGCAGTGCTTCCGCAACAATGCCAAGGAAATTGGATTCATCAAGTATCGCTAGAGGATTAATACACCATGGAAGATCAAGAACAAGAACAAGAACAAGAGCATTTTGATATTTGAACGCTATGGATGCATTACCTCTGATGTAATCAACGTCATTGTCGTTTTCTGTTTTTTTTATCAAACTATCTTTGGATTGATGTATTTTCTTGCTTAAGATGTTTTATCTTTTTTAACTTTATGATTTTTCCTACCGGAATATGGTTGGATTGCCCTACACATCATTGCTGCCGATGAAAAGTAGAGTCATGCTTCACATACACACACACACACGCACGCGCACACACACACACACACACACACATATATATATTGGTTCTAGTGAGAATGCGATCTTATGAAAGAAATAAGAATGAATCTCATGCTTTAGATTGTGAGATCTAAGGGTCAGGATTGTATCAAATTAAAATTAGGTGCACCAAGATGGTTAAAAATGCATCACGTCGAAATGCACTATAATCCTTTGAAAATGCACTATCTCAAAATCTAGACGCATGATGCAATCTTAGCCGCACGATGCATCAGATCTAAAGGCTAGATTTTATTCTTATTTCTTTCACCAAGGTGCATTCTCACCTGAACCAGCATATATATATATATATATATATATATATATATATATATATATATATATATATATATTTCATAATGTACTTTTGAAAACAAAATATTTTTTGGAGAATGTTACAAAAAAATGAAAAATAAAATATTATGTACAAAGTAAAAAGTAATAACAGTTAAAAAAAGTAATGAAAAGAAATAAAAATATAAAAAATAGTCTTTTTCTTTAACTCCATATTTTATTTCATCTTTCTGTTCTTCATATTTCATTTTTAAATTAAGGAGTTAAAGAAAAAGACTATTTTTTATATTTTTATTTCTTTTCATTACTTTNTTTTGTTTTCAAAAGTACATTATGAAAAATTCTAATTTGAGATGGGAAGCATATATTTTATTTTATATATTTGTATAATAAAGAAAATTAAAATTGGAAAAATTCAAGATCGGGGAAAACAAAGGGCATAAATGTCATTTTTGCTTTAAAAATAGGTAAGGGGGGCATGTGTGCTCTATTTAGAAACCACAGGGACTTTACAAATAACTTTTGAAAACAGGGGAGGTTTTGACGCCTTTTTTGTAAACCACAGGGATATATATATATATATATATATATATATATATTGAAATAACTCTAACACATGAAATATTAATTACTCCGTAGTTAATCCATCGATGAATCTTTCAATAAGGGAAATTGAAAAATAGGCCGAGATTAGATTGGCTTTAACAGATGAGCATGTTTACGGGTGTTACCGTAGTTCTCGAGTGCCACCATTGTCATAATGCAAATTCTCAGAAACATAGGAAACATCCTAAGCATGCTTGAAGAGTTTCATGCTGAGCCAGTGGAAATATACAGCAACAACAAGAACTGGAAGTGTCAAAGGTACCAGAAAGCAATAGTATCTGTCATTTTGAATGGCTGCTATAATAGGATTACCAGAAGCTGGAAGAAGCTTGGACAACCCAGCAGCGAAAGCAAATAGAATGAATGAAACTGAGCTGAAAATAAGAAGCATCCATTCTTGAGCTTGGGACCCAAACTTCCAGGGAGATGATGATGATGATGAGCCCAGATTAGTTTCCCTCCCTGCTGTTTCCTCGCAGCTGCCTGGTGCGTGTTCTTCGTCCTGGGCAGCTGCGGGACTGGTGGATTGGGCTGCCGCAGGTACAATATATATATGGGCCGGTTCTTGTGAGAATGAACCTTGGTGAAAGAAATTAGAATGAATGTGAGCCTTTGATTTGATCAATCGTGCGGTTGAACATAATAAAAGTTTAGGCCCGTCACATGGTAAGTAGAATTCATGTTCCATTAATTTAGGAGAAATTTTAGGGAGTAAGGGCATAATTGTAAACCCACCATTCTTAGCCACATCACCCACGTTCCTCCATTAAAAAATATTCATGTTTCCAGCCACTTTTCTATTTAATCTCATTTTGATTTGTTATCTTTCATTAAAAAATTTCTAAATTCAATTTACTTAAATATTTTCAAAAAAATTTGAAAACAAATTTTATTGTTTCAAATTCAATTTACTATGAAGAAGATTAAAATCCTATCTACTTTTCAAAATTACAATTGTAATGAGAATGCACTATGATGGTCGAAATATGCATTGTTGTTTGCTTTTTGAATTTATTCTATTATTTGCAGATTAGTAAATTATGACTCTTGAGAGAGCTTGTATGCGATGAAAAAGTTTGAGAATGCATTGATTTCATGTTTTGAGACTGAATGTATTGTTATGCTCCACATATTGAATCTCTTTTGCCATATTGTTCTCACACTGCATAGAGAGATGAGCTTTTTTTAATTTTAGAAGTGTTTGGGCTATTGATCAGTTTGTGAATTTCAATTTATGACGTTTGATTGTCTTTCTTGTGCTATACCTCAATGTATAAATGCATTACCTTCATTTGAGGATGCATTATCTTGTTCCAAAGAATGCATAGTAAGAGAAACAAAATACCAATTTGTGGGATGTAACATATTAAGAATTAAGGATCCCACTCCTACACCTATAGTCCCCAACCTACACCAACAAATAATTATTATGCATTGCCAAAACAAGCTAAATTACATATTTAGAATATAAGCAAATAAATCATTACTTTGAAATACATATAAGCAAGACCAACACCCCTACTTGTAATTAAGATATAGTTCAATTCAAAGAAAGTGTAAAACAGATTTGAGAAATAATTTGCTTATGCAGGATTCGAACCCACATTTGTATTACATACCGCTCTACCATTTGAGCTAATAGACAACACTTTATTTTTCAAAGAGACTCACATCTTAATTACACTCTAACATATAAAACATACAATTGATGCAATTGGAACATAGCACACACCAATTGAAGACATTGCAAATAGCACATAGCCATTGTTATTTGCAAGAACACATTCAATAATCAATTGAAATACCCTTCTAATTTTTCTTTTACTCAACACTCTTATTTGAATGCATTATCCTGATTTCAGAATGCAAAACTAACATAAAAGTAAAAATCAATTTGTTGATTAAACTCTAATCAAGTGTAAAATACATTTGAGGAATGGTTTGCCTATGCGAGTTTTAACACACATATGTAGTACATATCACTCTACGATTTGAGCTAATATAAACTGGAAACAAAGAGAACCAAAAAATCAAGATAAAAAATATAAAGAGCATAGTGATGCACACATTATATGCATGACATAGACCTCATATATGCATACATTATAATATATTTGTGCAATAAAAAGGCAACCTGATGTGGTAGCTGCGTATACAATATGAAAGATTAGATTTTTGACTGAATGCAACAAGAGGACAAAGCTATGCAAGACAGAGACTTCAAAATGCAAGAAAAATTTGCAAGAGGTCAATTTAATATAATTTTCTCCATATACAATCGAAATTAAAAATTGGCAGTAATGCATCATGCGTTTCATTTGATGCACACTGACAAACAAAAAAAGCCAACGTAAATGATGCCTCGTTGTAATTCATTCAAGCATATCAAAATGAAAATTAACAACAAACACAATTAACTATAGCAAAGTGTTGGACAATGTGCTATCATGAATATGTATTTTTGCAATGTCCTTTGCCCATTGTCTTTTAGGTTTTGATAATGACAAAAGAGTGACAAAATATCATCATCATTTTGTGCATCAAGGCTAAGAATCAAAGCTACAACAAGTTCATATCCGTCCGTGAAGAAGGGACTTGAGCATCGGTGGAAGGAACGAGACCGAAGAGGTTGTTTGCTTAGTTGGGTAGTGTTTTAGGTCCTAGATTATGTGTTAAAGAGTATGGCATCTCTAAGGTTCATTCCCTTATCATCTTACCTTTAAAACTCATTTTAGATCAGCCTTTGTGTGGAGAAGTTGCCTTTCTATTTGAATAATCTTTAGTTTATTCGAATAAGTCGTGATCTTTCCTGTGACTGAAATTAACATGTTTTATTCGAATAAATCACCATTTCTTCGAATAAGTCCTGGCTTTTCACCCTGATTTATTCGAATAAATCACCATTTATTCGAATAGGAACTGGTTTTTCAAGCCACGCGATTGATCCAAACTATTCGAATAGTTCTTGAGTTATTCGAATAAGTCGACAGTTTCAACTACCAAACGGCTAGTTTTTTGAATTCTTTTCATCTCTATCCACTCCCTAACTTCTATAAACAACCCTCTTCGTGATTATCTTGAAGAGAGCACTTAGAACACTTTGAAGAACATAGCCTTTGAATATCCAAAGAGATTCTACTCAATCCCCTCCTTATATCCAAGCAAGGGAATTGTTTTGATGGCTAAATCATTTCTTGCTTGAGTTTTTCCTCATTGCTTGAGTCTTTGAGAGATATTGCCATAATCTAAAGGACTTCATTGTATTTGCAACAATCTACTCCGTGTTGGGAGAATTACTCGGTTGCGGTTTGTTTTCTTACTTTATTGTAAGGGATTTGTATTCTTGGTGTTGGGATTACACCAAGTGGTAGAAATCCTAACGGTTTGTGAAATCAAACGTTAGGTGGAAGAAATCCTGAGTTTTGTGAAATCAAAACTT